CTGAGCGCTCCGCAACGAAAGGGTTAATCATTTCGTCCAACCCCTCTCGTGTCCCCGCGATCTCCGACTTTCACCGTCAGGAAAACGAATCAACCCTGTTCTTTACCATCTCGGACCCCAATTGCGAGCGTCTTCCGTGGCTCGCAGCTGCGACCCTATTGGCACGAATTCCGTCAGGGTGGTTACCGGTTAATACGGCAACTTATCCACTTAGGAATACGCCCTAATACGGCGCGGGGGTTGGTGTTCGTGGAACAACCGTCGCAGAGGGTTGGTCGACAATCGGCTGGTGGTAGCGAGAGTTTCGTCGGCGCAGAAGTAACGGGACTGTTACCAAGTTCGGATAAACCGAGCTAAGTTCTCCGGCTGGTACTTACGGGACCGGTTGTCTAGCGACGAAAACGCTCGGACGAAGTTTATTCCCGCTCGAGGTGCCCCAACCCTCGTCCTCCGCCGCCACCCAGAGCAACGGGCGGAGACACTGATTTACATAACGATTAAGTTAATTAACGAGCAGCCGCCGTAGTTGGATTGTTAATCCCGACCGCGAAAGGACGCGCCGCGTCGAACTCGCGTCCCGGCGGCGTTTCACGTGCAACGCGGAGAATTATCGGTGACACGAGTCTCACTCGTTTCGGGGAAATTAAGACCGATCCTGACCCCGTGTCTTCGTCCATGCTGAGGTTAGATTTGCCGAACGTCGGTTCGTTGGTTTAAGCAATTTTGCTGCTCGCAATGGCGATGAGGGTGGTTTACGAGAGTGGCTCAGAGAGTGGTGGTGAATATGATTGTCGAGTGATAGACCGTGTATCCCGATACGCGTATTTTTCGTTGGAATTGTTGGGTGAATCGCCTTGTATTTCCTTTCTTCGGCAGCCAATATCATCTACCAGAATTTGTAATTAACCCTTTCGCTACCAGAGCCTCAGGAGAAAAACCGTCACCACAGTTCAGACGTCTTATTATTTAAATATGATACCAATTGTCATTTATTTTTGTGGGATGTATCTATAACGTTCCAACTAAGTGAAATTAGCAATTTTACAAGCACACGCACATAAGTGACACTGGGCTATAGATAGATAATTTCTTTGGTAGTCCCGTCGTCATATATATGTGACATTTTATTAAAAGGAAATGAATAAAATTGGAAATAAAATTGATTTTACAGCCGACCACATAGCCCCCTCGTCACATATATGTGACACATTTGATTAAAAGGAAATGAATAAAATTGTCCCTATTTTGCAGTAAAGTTGAGAATCCGAAGTACCCTCCAGCGTAGTATAGACTGTGTGACTCTACATATAACTCAGCTAATATACTCGCGGCAACACTTAGTGCAACCAATTAAAAAATATTGATAAAGAACACGTAACATAAATTTGTGATGCCCAGATCTTTTTTAAAAAAGTAATTGTCGCCAGACCAATAACATCCTGTATCTATTTTGTTGTTTTATAGCATAACCCGTCTGTGTGCGACACGATTTGGTGCAAACAATTATCATAAACTGATAATAAACACCCGTCACATATCTGTGACGCCGGGCTCAGATAAGAAAATCAGATTGTCACATATATGTGACGCTGGTAGCGAAAGGGTTAACCACTTGCGCTGGAAAGACGTGCCACGCACGTCGTAATGCTTTTATCGCGGAATCGCCAACGACGTGGTATACACGTGGTCAGGCAATTGTCACAGAAACATTGGACCGTTCTGACACACGCGTCTGTGAATTTCTTGCCAGCGCAAGTGGTTAATGGAGGTCCTGACTCTTTTCTCTAGGGGGACGGTGTAGAGATGGGGGACAAAGAAACAAAAGAGCTCAGTGTGCTTAGAGGAAGCGTGAGGAGCGTGTGCGTATCAAAGTCAAGAGCGTGAATGTTTTGTTTAAGTATTATTCTTTATAAATAAAATAGTATAGTAATTTGTGTAAACTAAATCGAGTTTTCCTTCAGGAATAATTGATTATTTTACTCGCTGTCGAATTATTATGATTCGTGTTGTTTACTTGGGGGAATACTACGGTGAGTTATTTACATGTTTGGATACATGTGTTAGCACAGGTATTTACTCTGTAAATATTTGTACAGATTGACGAGTATTTATTATATTTCTATTTTCCTCATCTCTTTTTTTGATTTTATTTCATGATGATTCGCGTGCAGTTATTAAGTGATAAATGTAGAAGAGAACGTGAATTTCGGGATACCGTTGGAAAAATGTAAAAGTGAACCAATATCCGTTTCTCGATATTCGCGAAACGCGAGTCAGTGCATTATACCGCGGAATTTTCATTTATCAACCGAGCGAAAGAACATGCTCGACGAAGGAATGTTGATATTAATATCGCCACGAAGGCAGAAAGTACGCGGGGGACAAAACCATTCTTACCACAAAAGTATGAACTTACTGGAATTAAATTTCTTTGAAACCGCAACGATTCGTTGCCCGTTATGTGTTTAATATTCCACTGTGCAGTAGTATATCTTCCTGTCTCTTGACACACTTTGACATTTCATTTCGTTAGTAACCGGTGAAAAATAATATATCATTCCTTTCACTAAATTATTATCACCACTATGCCCTCAGAATACATTATATTCGCGAAAATATTTTTATCAAGCATCCTAACATCGTTTGATATCTTTATAATGATTCGGTGATACTAAAAATACTAGACATTGAAAGCATTTTTCCATGCAACAATCGTTTCGAGTCCTTTTGAATAGGTGAAAAAGAAAGCTTCGTAGAAGTAAAACGAAAAGAGATACGGAAAACGCAATGAGCACTGTTGGAAACTAGAAATCTTCCCCTTTAAAATGCACTTTGTTTCATCCCGATAGGATAATCCGTTCCCGAGATATCGTCGTTCGAAGACAGTCGTAATTTTTACGGGTCTCTCTCGCCTTCCCTGATCTATCCCAAGCGCAGCGTCCTTGCGCTGGTCAGCGGCAGACGCTGAGTCAGCGGTTTTTGCTATTACTACTACTACGTCACGCGTTTCCAAGAAACAATATAGGTCACTAGAATTTCGCCCGCCAGTCAACACCTCGGCGCGTTCAGAATGCTAAACTTTGAATCCCTGTATCTCGGCAACTAATTGAGATATCGACTTCGAATAAAGCGCATTTTCAATGGCACGGATTTCTCTATGTTCTCAACGAGGTTTGATCGAAAATTTGACGGTTCTTCTGAATGAGTTTCATCGATAAAAATTTTGCGTTACGTTAAGGTATACGTACCGACGAAAACTTTGTTCAATTTGAAATGTGTAATTATGATTACAGAAGAATACGTATGTCATCGTGACTGTATATGATATCGAAAGCGCGCAATGGTTCTCTTCAGAACTTTTATTACAAATTGGTACGAAAATATTTATATTTCACCCGGAGATGAAAAATATTTCTGTGTATTCTTACGTATCGTACAGATGAGAATTTTCGATGATTTACGAGCGAACAGAATTAATCCGACACGCTCGTGAAATATAGAAAGTTGAAAGGTATAGTCGAGCTTGGATTAGGATTTAAAGCGCTCCAACGCGACTGCTGCTCCCTGCAGATAAGATTTTCATTGTCTGTCAAGGTCATAGAATATTTGTCCGATCCTCCAACCTTCGAACGATCTCGATTCTCAAAGGATTACGTCCGATCCCCGTGGGAACTTCCCACGGAACGAGGAAGCTCTTGTTTTCGCTATTCCTCGTTGTTCATCCCTCTTTCCCACCCTGTCAACGAATTCTCACAGATATTCGATATCATTTTTAAAAGTTAAATACAAGTCACTGTCTTTTCTTACTAATTTCTACAAACCTCAAATTCTTTCAAATTTTTCGAATTCCCTGCGTGGTCAACGCTGCTCGGACTTTAAAATTATTCGATAAGAATGGATATGAATTGCAAAAATATTAAAGATTAAAGTCTCTGCAGATTTTATTTTACATAATAAAATTGGTCGATTTTATTAAATTTCATTGTCCCGTATGTTTGATAAAATTACATCAATACTTTTCAGTATCGTTCGATATTCGCGCATCCATAGAATTCTCGGCGAATTTTGCCAGCAATTTGATTTCGACGTTCTCGAGATATCATGTGCGCGACATTCTATCCCTTTCAAGGCACTCTTCCCTAAAATTGTCATTCGACGATTTCGAGGATCATCGAGCTGTCTCGGCTCGAATTCACCCTTGACGTGGAATCGACGTTGGAGAATCGCGACGTCTTACGGCCACCGGCTAGAGTAAATACATTTTCACGAAGTTTGGCAAGGAAAAACCGAGTCGCCGTCAATTTCCGCGCGACGTGTGCACACACGCGACGAAAGTCTGCGTTCCGTCGGGATTTGCAGCCAGAGCGTCGGCGAAACTCGATGAAATTGCATTCGATGCGTGAGGCAAACGCTTTCCCGGATATATCTGTGTTTATTGAGAGATCAGCGCTGCGCCGATTTGTTCGGCAGAGAGAACGATCGAATTTTACGCGAGGAGTGTATCGTCCGCGTCGCGTTGCCTCGTTGAAACCCAGAAAATAAAATACCATTCGATAAAATAATTGTTGGCAAGCCATTGCAGCAATTGCGTTCGAGTATAGCTCTATTCTAAGTATTCTCGAAAATCCTTCGTGTTCCAAGTCGCGTTGAATAGTAACTGGTTCATAATCGAGTAGTTACTTTGATCCTATTTTCATATTTACCTAAGTGATTGATTATTTCTGTCCAAATAAATTTCTCGTCCCTAAAGTCCACGAAATTATTAATATAGCGTAATTTTTCATATTTTCTTAAATTGTCTTGACACGTGAGCTTGTACACCGTATATTTTCATCATTTCTATATCACAAATGTGAAATATAGCGTGGTGTTTCGAAATATTTTTCGTACGTAACGCTGCAATATGTCAGCGTTTGCACGACCCTTCTTCAGTGCCGTATCCACGAAAGAAGGAAAAGCTGGAGGCGGAAAGCGAAAATATCGGAAAACTAGGTACTCACGATATCGAAGTCGAGGTTCTCGGCGATCCAGTCCCGGCCCTGCTTGAATTCGTCGTGAAGACCCATGATGTAGAGGGTGTCGAGGCCGTCGACGATGGTCGCACCAAGATTCGAAACGCCGAAGATGCTGGCGCTGTGACCTCTCTTCGAGATCGGTCTCAGCTCGTTCTTTCCCCAGGCGTACCTCACGTAGTTGTCCCAGCCATGTTTCATCATCTGCGTGAACAAAACGTGCACGGTGAGATTAAACAGGCTGAAATAAATTATACCGATTTACGAGAATTTATCGCGCAGGGGTTACGAATGAATCTGTGGCCCGAATTTTATATTCAATAAATTTAATTAATTATTTTCGTTTTTAGTAAAGGGAGTTTCTAGGTTGCTCACTATGGTGATATTATAATATTACAATAGTTACTAATATATTTCGAATCCGAATTAACCCTATTAGTACCGATTTTATTTACGAAAAACAATTGTTTCCCTATTTAGCGTGCAACATGCACTTCACAATGAAATAGAAAAAGAATTCTAATAGGTATTTCAAAGATTGCATATTTTTTAAAATAATTTCAGTCCACACCGACAAATTTTATGAACTATCTATAGGCTAATAAAATTATAATAATTGTAAATTAAGGAAAGATCGATGGACCAGTAATTTCACTGAATCGTGCTTCCGTATTAATTAAAATTTTATCTCAGCTAAAGATAAACGTCTACTTGAGAAGTTTCGGTGATATTATAATATTATAATAGTTATCAATATAGTTCGAACCTGAACTATATAACCTTTTTAGTACCGCAAAGCAGATATATCGGTTTTATGGGATTTTATTATACAGGGAAAACAATTTTTTCCCTTTTTAGCATGCAACTCACACTTCACAGTGGAATAGAAAAAGAATTCTGATAGGTACCTCAAAGATCGCATATGTAGTATCTCGAATTTTCCACCGTGTACACGAACCTTTATGAAGGAGCAAAGCCCAGGTCAATTGGGATAAACCCTGGTCGATGTGTCCAGCATTAAGGGAGGCATCGGAAAACGTGTGCATGGAGGAAAAAATATATAAAGAAGGTTACGAGTGCTGAAAGGACAGTTTTAAATGTAGACGATTAGTTGTTGCAAACTGAGTTGATATCGAGTTGTGAAGTTGAACGCTGTATTAAATTGAAAATCGATCTAAACTCTTATAAAAAGATAATTCGTATGTTTAATCGTCACTCGTACACTTTATTAATAATTATAAATAAATTACCACCACTGTCAATCCCTAGACATATTTCTAAAAATATTTTTAGACGGTGTCGACAAACTTACGAACTATCTATAGCCTAATAAAATTATAATTATATAAGTTAAACGCTGTATTCACCCTTTGCACTCGAGAGGCGACCATCAGTCACCATTAGATAAAATTTCGAAGATCGATATTAATTAGTATACTAAATTTAAGATAATGTAACGGTGTGCGAGCTATCGAAATCAAACAATTCTTCTTATTTATTACTAAAAGAAATATCGCCAGCTTTATAGCAAAAAGTCTTTAAACTCATACTCATTTTTAGCCAAAAGATTATCGAGTGCAAAGGGTTAAATTGAAAATCGATCTAGATTCTTATAAAAAGATAATTCGTATGTTTAATCGTCACTCGTACACTTTATTAATAATTATAAATAAATTGCCACCACTGTCAATCCCTAGACATATTTCTAAAAATATTTTTAGACGGTGTCGACAAACTTACGAACTATCTATAGCCTAATAAAATTATAATTATATAAGTTAAACGCTGTATTCACCCTTTGCACTCGAGAGGCGACCATCAGTCACCATTAGATAAAATTTCGAAGATCGATATTAATTAGTATACTAAATTTAAGATAATGTAACGGTGTGCGAGCTATCGAAATCAAACAATTCTTCTTATTTATTACTAAAAGAAATATCGCCAGCTTTATAGCAAAAAGTCTTTAAACTCATACTCATTTTTAGCCAAAAGATTATCGAGTGCAAAGGGTTAAATTGAAAATCGATCTAGATTCTTATAAAAAGATAATTCGTATGTTTAATCGTCACTCGTACACTTTATTAATAATTATAAATAAATTACCACCACTGTCAATCCCTAGACATATTTCTAAAAATATTTTTAGACGGTGTCGACAAACTTACGAACTATCTATAGCCTAATAAAATTATAATTATATAAGTTAAACGCTGTATTCACCCTTTGCACTCGAGAGGCGACCATCAGTCACCATTAGATAAAATTTCGAAGATCGATATTAATTAGTATACTAAATTTAAGATAATGTAACGGTGTGCGAGCTATCGAAATCAAACAATTCTTCTTATTTATTACTAAAAGAAATATCGCCAGCTTTATAGCAAAAAGTCTTTAAACTCATACTCATTTTTAGCCAAAAGATTATCGAGTGCAAAGGGTTAAATTGAAAATCGATCTAGATTCTTATAAAAAGATAATTCGTATGTTTAATCGTCACTCGTACACTTTATTAATAATTATAAATAAATTACCACCACTGTCAATCCCTAGACATATTTCTAAAAATATTTTTAGACGGTGTCGACAAACTTACGAACTATCTATAGCCTAATAAAATTATAATTATATAAGTTAAACGCTGTATTCACCCTTTGCACTCGAGAGGCGACCATCAGTCACCATTAGATAAAATTTCGAAGATCGATATTAATTAGTATACTAAATTTAAGATAATGTAACGGTGTGCGAGCTATCGAAATCAAACAATTCTTCTTATTTATTACTAAAAGAAATATCGCCAGCTTTATAGCAAAAAGTCTTTAAACTCATACTCATTTTTAGCCAAAAGATTATCGAGTGCAAAGGGTTAAATTGAAAATCGATCTAGATTCTTATAAAAAGATAATTCGTATGTTTAATCGTCACTCGTACACTTTATTAATAATTATAAATAAATTACCACCACTGTCAATCCCTAGACATATTTCTAAAAATATTTTTAGACGGTGTCGACAAACTTACGAACTATCTATAGCCTAATAAAATTATAATTATATAAGTTAAACGCTGTATTCACCCTTTGCACTCGAGAGGCGACCATCAGTCACCATTAGATAAAATTTCGAAGATCGATATTAATTAGTATACTAAATTTAAGATAATGTAACGGTGTGCGAGCTATCGAAATCAAACAATTCTTCTTATTTATTACTAAAAGAAATATCGCCAGCTTTATAGCAAAAAGTCTTTAAACTCATACTCATTTTTAGCCAAAAGATTATCGAGTGCAAAGGGTTAAATTGAAAATCGATCTAGATTCTTATAAAAAGATAATTCGTATGTTTAATCGTCACTCGTACACTTTATTAATAATTATAAATAAATTACCACCACTGTCAATCCCTAGACATATTTCTAAAAATATTTTTAGACGGTGTCGACAAACTTACGAACTATCTATAGCCTAATAAAATTATAATTATATAAGTTAAACGCTGTATTCACCCTTTGCACTCGAGAGGCGACCATCAGTCACCATTAGATAAAATTTCGAAGATCGATATTAATTAGTATACTAAATTTAAGATAATGTAACGGTGTGCGAGCTATCGAAATCAAACAATTCTTCTTATTTATTACTAAAAGAAATATCGCCAGCTTTATAGCAAAAAGTCTTTAAACTCATACTCATTTTTAGCCAAAAGATTATCGAGTGCAAAGGGTTAAATTGAAAATCGATCTAGATTCTTATAAAAAGATAATTCGTATGTTTAATCGTCACTCGTACACTTTATTAATAATTATAAATAAATTACCACCACTGTCAATCCCTAGACATATTTCTAAAAATATTTTTAGACGGTGTCGACAAACTTACGAACTATCTATAGCCTAATAAAATTATAATTATATAAGTTAAACGCTGTATTCACCCTTTGCACTCGAGAGGCGACCATCAGTCACCATTAGATAAAATTTCGAAGATCGATATTAATTAGTATACTAAATTTAAGATAATGTAACGGTGTGCGAGCTATCGAAATCAAACAATTCTTCTTATTTATTACTAAAAGAAATATCGCCAGCTTTATAGCAAAAAGTCTTTAAACTCATACTCATTTTTAGCCAAAAGATTATCGAGTGCAAAGGGTTAAATTGAAAATCGATCTAGATTCTTATAAAAAGATAATTCGTATGTTTAATCGTCACTCGTACACTTTATTAATAATTATAAATAAATTACCACCACTGTCAATCCCTAGACATATTTCTAAAAATATTTTTAGACGGTGTCGACAAACTTACGAACTATCTATAGCCTAATAAAATTATAATTATATAAGTTAAACGCTGTATTCACCCTTTGCACTCGAGAGGCGACCATCAGTCACCATTAGATAAAATTTCGAAGATCGATATTAATTAGTATACTAAATTTAAGATAATGTAACGGTGTGCGAGCTATCGAAATCAAACAATTCTTCTTATTTATTACTAAAAGAAATATCGCCAGCTTTATAGCAAAAAGTCTTTAAACTCATACTCATTTTTAGCCAAAAGATTATCGAGTGCAAAGGGTTAAATTGAAAATCGATCTAGATTCTTATAAAAAGATAATTCGTATGTTTAATCGTCACTCGTACACTTTATTAATAATTATAAATAAATTACCACCACTGTCAATCCCTAGACATATTTCTAAAAATATTTTTAGACGGTGTCGACAAACTTACGAACTATCTATAGCCTAATAAAATTATAATTATATAAGTTAAACGCTGTATTCACCCTTTGCACTCGAGAGGCGACCATCAGTCACCATTAGATAAAATTTCGAAGATCGATATTAATTAGTATACTAAATTTAAGATAATGTAACGGTGTGCGAGCTATCGAAATCAAACAATTCTTCTTATTTATTACTAAAAGAAATATCGCCAGCTTTATAGCAAAAAGTCTTTAAACTCATACTCATTTTTAGCCAAAAGATTATCGAGTGCAAAGGGTTAAATTGAAAATCGATCTAGATTCTTATAAAAAGATAATTCGTATGTTTAATCGTCACTCGTACACTTTATTAATAATTATAAATAAATTACCACCACTGTCAATCCCTAGACATATTTCTAAAAATATTTTTAGACGGTGTCGACAAACTTACGAACTATCTATAGCCTAATAAAATTATAATTATATAAGTT